GTAAGTAATCTTTATTTATATACCGCCTTTTCACTGCACATTCAAAGTCTCAAAGCCTCAAAGTGGTTTACAATTGTTATTTTTGGGAGCGGGGCCAGTACAGGAGGCATATGCCAGACCTATTGTACATATTTTTAGTGGTAGGGGAAACCGGAGCACCCAGAGGAAACCTACGCAGCCACGGGGAGAACATGCAAACTCCACTCAGAAAGGCCCTGGTCCAACCGGGTCTCGAACCCAGGACCTTCTTGCTGAGAGGCGAGAGTGCTATCCACTCAGCCACCGTGCCGCCCGGTTTGAGGCATGGATTGTACATAAATGTTTATAGATGGACACATAGTACCATAATACGCTGTGGTTATTTATGATTTTAATGCCTTGAGTTTTACCGGTAAAAGAAAAAAAAAGTCAGACAATAATGAATTGCACAAACCCTGTCCCCCTCCCTACGAAACAAACGCTAAGCAGATTTGAGGACAGTACGGAGAAAACAAATGTCAAATGCAAATTGAGTTCTGAATCAGACGTTAATGACAAGAAAGTCAGCGAATCAGGAAAACCTCAAATCATCCGTTTCAGATATCTGCAAGAAAAAGAACCACATCATGGACTGGGACGGGGCGCGGGTCCTCGGATTCTAAAACGCTGGATCAAGGCCATTGAAATCAGAAAGCGGGACAACAACAGCATCAACCGGGATGACGGAGCCTTCCTCCTGTCGCACACATGGCACACCCTCAAGCCCCGGCGATCCAAGATGGCGCCCTATTCAAATGAATGGTTGTGCTCAGTGGCGCTTTGTGACGGCACGGGGGCTGAAAGATTAGCGGAAGTTGCCTGAAACTCGCAAAGATCTATGGGAAACTCTCAAAGATCTATGGGAAACTCTCAAAGATCTATGGGAAACTCTCAAAGATCTATGGGAAACTCGCCTGTATTTGGGCATCGTCTGGTCCTCCCGGTTCTGAGCAGTGGATGATCTCCCATAATGCTTTGCACCAAACACGCGTGTGTGGGTCTCACACCGGGTCTCACACACGTGCACAGAGGGGCTCGGCTCTGACCAATCAGAGCAGTTCATCAGAGCGGGAGTTAGAGCGAGAGCCAGACGAGCAGAGTTTGTGGCACTAAAGTGTGGATTTAAACAAAACCCAAGGATTTAAGAAGAAAAAAAGTTCAGGATGACAAGGGACACTTACATCCCCACAAAATCTGATCTTTATGAAAGCTGTAGGTTCTCTGTCAGGTTCTCTGTCAGGTTCTCTGTCAGCTGAGGTTGAGCTGTTTTAATATGCATTGAGTTCTATGGGGAACATTTCTGGGTAGCCCACGTGAATTTAGTCTGGTTCAGTCTGGTTCAGTCTGCAGTACCGCGAGAATCCCCTGAGCACGTGAGTTATTCAGCTACAAGCTAGTAATACCCTATCCAGTTAATATAATACATCCATGGACACCCTCCTCCAGAGACCACCGGGCGAGAGGGGGCGTGGTCAGTCTGAGTGACCTGTCAATCAGCCTGACCACACCTGATTGACCTGATAGGAAGTAACATCTAAACCTTGTGCGTATTTCTGAGGTATTTAAATTAGTCCTTAAAGGGCCGGTGTAGCTGCAGGTTTTCATTCTGATACTACTGCCATTCACCAGTCACTTTACTGTTGTTAGCGTTACTGTATTATTACTGTATTATTACTGCATTATTACTGTATTATCACTACATTATTACTGCATTATTACTGTATTATCACTACATTATTACTGCATTATTACTGTATTATTACTGTATTATTACTGCATTATTACTGTATTATTACTGCATTATTACTGTATTATCACTACATTATTACTGTATTATTACTGCATTATTACTGTATTATTACTGCATTATTACTGTATTATCACTGTATTATCACTGTATTATTACTGCATTATTACTGTATTATTACTGCATTATTACTGTATTATTACTGCATTATTACTGTATTATCACTACATTATTACTGTATTATTACTGCATTATTACTGTATTATCACTACATTATTACTGCATTATTACTGTATTATTACTGCATTATTACTGTATTATTACTGCATTATTACTGTATTATCACTACATTATTACTGTATTATTACTGCATTATTACTGTATTATTACTGCATTATTACTGTATTATTACTGCATACAGGGGGTGGGCACTAATAAGCTTTCTTGCTTCAGCCTACTCCTTTTGAGCCACTTTATAACAGTGTAACCTTGTAACAATGAAAAATGTTTGTAAAATGCTCAAATAAATAACAATCAATCAATCAATCAATCAATTATTACTGTATTATTACTGCATTATTACTGCATTATTACTGTATTATTACTGCATTATTAATGCATTATTACTGTATTATTACTGCATTATTAATGCATTATTACTGTATCATAAATAGTCATAGCGCATTAAAAAGATTAAAGATAAAAACAAATATAAAATCATTCACTTGTATGCACAGCTAAAAAGAACTGTTTTCAGTTGTTTTAAAAACTGCTAGAGTAGACGCCTGTCTCACATTCTCGGGAAGACGGTTCCAGACTCTAGCTGCATGAATCTGAAACGCAGCCTCCCCATGTCTAGTTCCGACTCTTGGCACTAACAGGAGTCCAGTCCCTGTGCTCCTCAGAGCCCGAGTTGGTTCATATGGCACCAACATGTCGCGGATGTACCCTGGTGCGAGGCCATGGAGAGACTTGTAACAAGTAAAGCTGCTTTAAAGTCTATTCTCTGAGCCACAGGAAGCCAGTGCAGAGACCTGAGAATTGGACTAATATGGTCGTACTTCCTGGTTCTAGTCAGGACTGGAGCTGCTGCATTTTGAATGTACTGCAGCTGTTTTACAGCCTGTTTGGACAGACCTGTGAGCAGGCCATTGCAGTAGTCTAACCTACTGGAGACAAATGCATGGATAAGAATCTCCAAGTCTGCTTTAGACACTATGTTTTTAATTTTAGCAATGTTTCTCAGGTGGAAGTAAGCTGATGATGTCACAGATGATATGTGGCTATTGAAATTTAAGTCTGAGTCCATTATTACTCCTAGATTTCTGATTATTACTACATTATTACTACATTATTACTGTATTATTACTGCATTATTACTACATTATTACTGTATTATTACTACATTATTACTGCATTATTGCTGTATTATTACTGTATTATTACTGCATTATTACTGTATTATTACTGCATTATTGCTGTATTATTACTGCATTATTACTGTATTATTACTGCATTATTTCTGTATTATTACTGCATTATTACTGTATTATTACTGTATTATTACTGCATTATTACTGTATTATTACTGCATTATTACTGTATTATTACTGCATTATTACTGTATTATTACTGTATTATTACTACATTATTACTGCATTATTACTGTATTATTACTACATTATTACTGGTTATTACTACATTATTACTACATTATTACTGTATTATTACTACATTATTACTACATTATTATTGTATTATTACTGTTATTACTACATTATTACTGTATTATTACTACATTATTACTGTATTATTACTACATTATTACTGTATTATTACTACATTATTACTATATTATTACTACATTATTACTGTATTATTACTGCATTATTACTATATTATTACTGTATTATTACTGTATTATTACTACATTATTACTATATTATTACTACATTATTACTGTATTATTACTGCATTATTACTATATTATTACTGTATTATTACTGTATTATTACTACATTATTACTGTATTATTACTGTATTATTACTACATTATTACTGTATTATTACTGTATTATTACTACATTATTACTGTATTATTACTACATTATTACTATATTATTACTGTATTATTACTACATTATTACTGCTTTATTACTATATTATTACTGTATTATTACTACATTATTACTGCTTTATTACTGTAGATTATCTCCATCTGATACCTCTGTCTTTCACCAGTCACTTTACCTGTTGATATTATTACAGATGTTTATCCTGCTCATATTGTCTATTATCAAGTAGACTATTTGATGTGTGCGCCTGAGTCTTATTTCCTTCTTTCTTTGCTGTAATCTGCAACGATGACACTGAAGTTTCTCCTCTGTGAATATCTGATCTGATCTCATTCCAACCAAGCAGGAGCACAGCAGACTCCACCTATTTCCTCAAAACAATCGATGAAGTTACTATACTTATTATACTTTATACATGATACTTTTCCCAGCGTGCGACCCGCTCGGCAGCCGCTTAAAGAGAGTAACAGAAAGTCCTAAGTGACTCAAACTTTCTCTCATTATCTGCCAATGCTTCTGTGAGACCAAAGACAGCCAGATGTTGCTAATGGCTGTTTGTTTATGAAAATGTGAGCCGTCTGATGCCTCCTGGAGGGACATGGGACACGCCACGATGAGGGGGCCCCCGAGAGCCTTCATCTGTTCGCTGCTGCCAATCACTGATGTGGAGATACTTACGTTTGTCTTTGGGGCCACAGCGAGGCTCGGAGGAACCAGAACCAAGGTATCTGCCCGTCTCGTCTCGTACAGAATGGAACTGCGTACAAAGGACATCACGACAGATCACAGCCCCTTCCACAAGCAGCAAATTCTTCAATTCAATGGGTTTTTGCACAACACTGTACACAGAATCAGTACAAACAAGAAACGCACTGATGAAAAACACATAGAACACGGTGTCAAACTCTGGCCCGTGTAAATTAAGGCAATGTCAAAATAACATTAGGGGGGGGGGGGGGTCCACAGGAAGATCGCTGCTCCATCAGTGGTGCCACAGTCTTGGTGTTTCAGCGAGAGCTTCAGACAGTGTAGTAGGTGTTGGAGTGGGTCCTACACCTGGACCATGTGGACTGGTGCGTGTGGACCATGTGGACTGGTGCGTGTGGACTGGTGCGTGTGGACCATGTGGACTGGTGCGTGTGGGCCATGTGGACTGGTGCATGTGGGCCATGTGGACTGGTGCGTGTGGACCATGTGGACTGGTGCGTGTGGACCATGTGGACTGGTGCGTGTGGACCATGTGGACTGGTGCGTGTGGACTGGTGCGTGTGGACCATGTGGACTGGTGCGTGTGGACCATGTGGACTGGTGCGTGTGGACTGGTGCGTGTGGACCATGTGGACTGGTGCGTGTGGACCATGTGGACTGGTGCGTGTGGACCATGTGGACTGGTGCGTGTGGACCATGTGGACTGGTGCATGTGGACCATGTGGACTGGTGCATGTGGACCATGTGGACTGGTGCGTGTGGACTGGTGCGTGGTGGACTGGTGCGTGTGGACCATGTGGACTGGTGCATGTGGGCCATGTGGACTGGTGCGTGTGGACCATGTGGACTGGTGCGTGTGGACCATGTGGACTGGTGCGTGTGGACCATGTAGACTGGTGCGTGTGGACCATGTGGACTGGTGCGTGTGGACCATGTGGGCTGGTGCGTGTGGACCATGTGGACTGGTGCGTGTGGACCATGTGGACTGGTGCGTGTGGACCATGTGGACTGGTGCGTGTGGACCATGTGGACTGGTGCGTGTGGACCATGTGGACTGGTGCGTGTGGACCATGTGGACTGGTGCGTGTGGACCATGTGGACTGGTGCATGTGGGCCATATGGACTGGTGCGTGTGGACCATGTGGACTGGTGCGTGTGGACCATGTGGACTGGTGCGTGTGGACCATGTGGACTGGTGCGTGTGGACCATGTGGACTGGTGCGTGTGGACTGGTGCGTGTGGACCATGTGAACTGGTGCGTGTGGACCATGTGGACTGGTGCGTGTGGACCATGTGGACTGGTGCGTGTGGACTGGTGCGTGTGGACCAGTGGACTGGTGCGTGTGGACCATGTGGACTGAGTGCGTGTGGACCATGTAGACTGGTGCGTGTGGACCATGTGGACTGGTGCGTGTAGACCATGTGGACTGGTGCGTGTGGACCATGTGGACTGGTGCGTGTGGACCATGTAGACTGGTGCGTGTGGACCATGTGGACTGGTGCGTGTGGACCATGTGGACTGGTGCGTGTGGACCATGTGGACTGGTGCATGTGGGCCATGTGGACTGGTGCATGTGGACCATGTGGACTGGTGCGTGTGGACCATGTGGACTGGTGCGTGTGGACCATGTGGACTGGTGCGTGTGGACCATGTGGACTGGTGCATGTGGCGTTCAGCTCCTGTTGATATAGATTCAGTCAATAACGGAAACTCGCGGTGCTCTTTAACTCTTTATGTGAACGGGATCCACTCATCCATCCAAAAGCAGGAGTCCCCAGAGAGAGACTGCTGCTTTTATGACCCGGAAGCCACAGAATGTCCATATATGGGCATCCCACAACAGTCCCAATGCGTTGTGTTAATGTCATATCTGCCATTCTGTCATTAGTGTAATATTCAAATCAAACCTCCATAAGATAAGAGTTCCTTTCTTGGTCCAACAGTGGGGAAATGTCAATGTTGCAGCGCACAGACAGGACAGTAGTAAGAGCACACAGGGAACACACTAAAATATACAAAATAAGTAGTGGCTACTGTATGTTTCCTAGCTATAAATGCTTCAATACCAGTTGAAGTCTGTTAGAAAAATATTTATATAGACTGTATGTATATATATTGCGGAGTGATGTACTGTGCATATGGGGCAGGATAAAAAGTAAATAAATTAAAGTGACATTGTTCAGTGGACATTCTGAAGTTGCAGTATTGCACATGATTTAGTATTTACTTATTTACAGATGGATGAAATTTACAGGCTCAGCAGTTCTCATTGTACAGTCTGACAGCAGCAGGAAGTTAAGCCTGGTTCACACGAGACGATTTTAAAATTGTCGGCCGATTTTTTTCTCCGTGTGAGACCCCACACACGGAGATAAAAAATCACGGGTCTAACCACTTTGGTCGTACAGTGTGTGGTGCAGCCACACGGCAAACCACACACATCACACACGAACCGATTTCACCCCCGAGCATTCACAGGTCACCGGAAATCTCACCACATCTCTGGAGATCAAGCGTGACTTCAGAGTAAACAGAGTGTTGGCCTCTCCGCTTCACGCAGCCTATAGAGACTCTGGTCTGACCACAGCAGCCTATAGAGACTCTGGTCTGACCACAGCAGCCTATAGAGACTCTGGTCTGACCACAGCAGCCTATAGAGACTCTGGTCTGACCACAGCAGCCTATAGAGACTCTGGTCTGACCACAGCAGCCTATAGAGACTCTGGTCTGACCACAGCAGCCTATAGAGACTCTAGTCTGACCAGAGCAGCCTATAGAGACTCTGGTCTGACCACAGAAGCCTATAGAGACTCTGGTCTGACCACAGAAGCCTATAGAGACTCTGGTCTGACCACAGCAGCCTATAGAGACTCTGGTCTGACCACAGCAGCCTATAGAGACTCTGGTCTGACCACAGCAGCCACAGACACCATGAGGACAAACACATGTGGATGTTACTGCTCTACAGTTCTCTGGCCCGTACTGTCTGTGCTGTTCAACAATACAGTTTGTACGGACGACCTGTGAACGCATCACACACACTGCTAGACATGAAACTTTACATACGCTCAAACCAACAAGCTCGGCTGCAGTAACGGCTGCATCAACACGTCTGTGCTGTATTAGGACAGAGTGCAAAGTAAACGTACAAACACAACCAGTCTGATCAGTTAGTACTAATCCTGTCCGAACAGGGCTGATGCCAACACTACCTGTGCAGCAGCAATTTCTGCCCATTCCTCTCCTTATCATTTCAGTGATGATTCTTTACACGACATGTCAGACATACGTTCACAGTGTTGCCAGAGGTTCTTCCTCCATCTCTGATGTCCACCGAACTTTCTGGTGCGCCATGCCGCTGACTGATTTGCTTTTTTTACGGTGTTACCTCGCCGGCTCGTCTCGTCTTCTGATTGGCTACACGCCGCAGTCATGGCAACGCACTCGTCTGTCCCCGGGGGACACCACACACGAAGAGAAATCAAGCCAAAACAATCCAACATGTTGGATATGTCATGGTTTAAGTTTATTTCCTGTTTTATTTTGAAATGTGTTATTCCTGTGTCTTCTTTGGTTGTACTTCCTGTTGTCTGATTACCTGCCCTGCCCTCATCTGTCTCACCTGTGTCTCGTTAGTCTTGTATTTAGCCCTGTGTGTTCCTTCACTCCCTTTTCCGTCATTGTCATTCCTTGTCTGTTTTAGTTTGGTCCTCGTTCCCGGTGTTTTTGGATTTGTTTCATCTTTTTATTAAATCCATTACTTTTTGCAGTTTTGTATTTTGGGTCTCATTTAATTTCACCCACGTGACAGAATGACGGAACCACTCAAGGCCCAAGCAGACTGCTTTATTTTTGTTTTTTTATTTTTTGTTATCTCTGGCCCATCTTTGTCCCCGACTGGTCTTGACAGTTGCTGCAGGAGCTGGACGCATCTCTGTCTGTCTGTGTCCTGGACCACTGCTGGACACTTAGCTCCGTCCTGGGTGGTTGCAGGCTTCCGTTCCTGACCTGGCTCCGCTGGATATTGTTCTCCATCCAGGGGGCCTTCTGTACCCGTTTGGCTCCAGTCCTGGCTCCAGTCCTGGCTCCAGTTCCTGCTCCAGCTCTTCGGCTTCACGTCCCGGCCCCGGCTTCACGTCCCGGCCCCGGCTTCACGTCCCGGCCCCGGCTTCACGTCCCGGCCCCGGCTTCACGTCCCGGCCCCGGCTTCACGTCCCTAACCTGGCAAGAGCCAGATTGATGATTGTGTAGAACTCTAACGCGTTCTCCGCGATATCAATCTGGGATTTCTCCCGGAGAATCCTTTCGGGGAAAGGAGGGATAAGCAGCAGAATACTTCAAGCTGATTGGGCGAAGTGACGCTGTGTGCCCGCCTACACTCTTGCCAAAACCCGTAGGTAAAAATGCACAAACATCTTTGCCGTCCAGAAATGCACAAAGCGCCTCTCGCTGTTCATCTTTCAAAAAAGAATTTGGAGATTCTGCTAAAACTGACTTGATAGCCTCAGCTACGCGCCCGTCCTCCTGCGTAGCCATGTTTGTTTTGCTTCGGCCCGGCACTTCTTGCTTTCGTCAAACCCGGATATCCCGCCCTAAACCCCCAGACTGGCGCGTGATTGGCTCGCACACCCAGTGGTTTGACTCGAAAAGGTTTGGCGGGAGCGGTACAAGATGTATTCTCGAGTGTTTGTGAACTCACAAATACCGCGAGAATTCAGCTTGCAGGCAAGGTTATCACGTCCCGGCCCCGGCTTCACGTCCCGGCCCTGGCTTCACGTCCCGGCCCCGGCTTCACGTGCCGGTTACTCCCCCCCGGTCCTTCCTACGGTCCCCCTCCTCCCTCCCTGGTTTTGTTTTTGGGACGTCTGGGATCCGTCCCTTGAGGAGAGGGTACTGTCATGGTTTAAGTTTATTTCCTGTTTTATTTTGAAATGTGTTATTCCTGTGTCTTCTTTGGTTGTACTTCCTGTTGTCTGATTACCTGCCCTGCCCTCATCTGTCTCACCTGTGTCTCGTTAGTCTTGTATTTAGCCCTGTGTGTTCCTTCACTCCCTGTTCCGTCATTGTCATTCCTTGTCTGTTTTAGTTTGGTCCTCGTTCCCGGTGTTTTTGGATTTGTTTCATCTTTTTATTAAATCCATTACTTTTTGCAGTTTTGCATTTTGGGTCTCATTTAATTTCACCCACGTGACAATTTTTTGACGAATCCAGTGCTTTTTGCTTCTGCCTTCGCTTTTTGAGCTTTCTTTCTTTCTTGAATTATTTGAGCATGTAAAAAATATATAAAATACATTTTAAAACTGCTCAAGTAAAAATATTACAACTACTACTAATTTGGCTCCTGAAGGGCAACGCAAAAAAAACAGCCGCCAGATGTGATTAAACTTAAGGTCATTGAAAAACTATGCCTCTTTGTTGTTTGATAATGTTAAAAAAAATAAAATAATCTGATCCGTGCAGTTGCAGTAAAATATTTGTTCAGTCAAATCTACAGGAGTAATGAAAATACCTCCTCGCTTCCTCTTCTCCTTCTTCTGTTTTGAACATGACGCTGTCCGTGGTGCTGAACCGCTAAGAGCCAAGTG